CTTGGAACCAGACGATAGTGAAAGAGGGTAAGGGGAAAGAAGGCACATTTTTTTGTTTTATTATTCTCTCTCTCTCTCTCTCCCTCCCTCTTCTTTTCTTTTCTTTTCTTATATGCATAGGGGGCGGGTCAGGCCCCCCGGGCAATTTGCGGGTCTCTCTCTCTCTCTCTCTCTCTCTCTCTCTCTCTCTCTCGCTCGCTCTCTCGTCGGTATCTGTGTCGGTCTCCGAACGAACAAACAGCGCGTATGAATATATGAGCATGAATGTGAATACAAATGTAAACGTAAATGCAACCATTATATGAACTCAAGTGCACATATACATAATATACATATGCAAATGCGCAGAAATATACATCTACATACACATATAAACCTACATATACGTTAAATTACATATGCATATACGTAATGTGTACATCTACATTTACAAATATGATACCAGTATAAGAACAACTCAATACACGCGCATGTGCATATGTTACTTATGTGTGTATATATGTATATACACATACATACATAGATACTCATACTCCTACATGTATTTATTTGCCATGTACACATGCATTCATGTTGTGTGCATGTGCATGTGTATGAAAGCCCGTGGTGGGTTCTGTTGCGATCGAATTTTCCGTTTCACCCCCTGCCCCTCTCATAGCCCCCTCCTTAAGGGCCCCTCTTTGCATTAGCAAGGCACTGCATCATCGTCACCGTCATGTCATATCCTGGTCATACACAGCACGAACGTTTTTAGGAGGCAACCCGGGTGTTGCAACTTATATTTCAGCTTGTGTTGCTAACACACTCAAAAACAAACCGCTACTCTGGCTTCGGCTGGCACTCTTGGTGAAGCTGCGAAGCTGGTTTCATGTACGTTGGGTTATGGCTACAGCATGCTCGTCAACTATTTGGCATGCAGTCGGGGCACGAAGCCACAGATTGGGGTTGAAAGCAGATGACAAAATACAAGAGCACAAGGTTGTTGAATGAGGCAAGACTGCCTGAACAAACCGAACTGATTACTGATTACCATACATCGACGACATGCCACAATGTTGTCGGGCTTCCTTTTTTCGTGATTTTCTTCCCGACCATCCGCAGCTGCATGCACAATGCCCCAGTGCAACCTGTAAACCGTCAACCCTGTAAACCCTGATCAAAGCTTAGCCTCTTTACGCCAACCCTAACCCAAGGCTTCAACATCAATCTCGGAGACCCAAAGTAGCCACACGATGTTGAACCTCATCTCGCATATCTGCTCCCTTTTTGAAATATAGCGGCCTTAGTACTTAGAATTGGGTTTTGGGGGGTTTCTTATTAAAGCTATAGTATAATAGACCCCCCAAGCCCTATTCCAAATTGTTAAGGCCACTATAATACTCCTGCTCTCCAGAAACAGAACCCCCATGGAACATTTCTGGAACACTCATAGAACCAGACCTCCCAGCGCTCGCTCGTTACCGGACTCCCGCCTTTCCTCACTACTCACCACCATGTCTGTAGACCGGTCGTTTTCACTGCCATGAACACTTCTGGAGGCGAATCTATGATGTCTGATACGCCGCACAACCCTTTGTGGGTGAATGTGTTTCCCAGGGCTACGGTAGCAAAACACAGCAACAGCAGTCAATGTACCATGTGACTCCATTATTATTCTTATTATTACAGTTCCCATTTAATTAGTGCATGTTCGCTCGAAGCTCTAAACCATTTTGGGCATTTCCAGCTGCAGGAATGTGGCAGTGGGTGTGGTTCGAGAGGAGCGCTGTGTTGCTACAAACCACTGACTGCACTCTACCCCTAGCCAAACAATGAAATCATGTCAGCGCAAGTCTCCGAACCGGCTGGTACCGAAGCGGGTCCAAACCCAGGCGTTCACCCGATTTGCTTCAAGCGAAATGCCAAACATGTCAGCAACCACCAACTGCATAACCGTGCATCTTGGCAGGAACGACTTACATTCCCAAGCTACACGCATTTGTGGCTAGCCTTGCGGTAAAGGTATACAGGCTGAATTACAACGAGCCTGGCGCCTGGGCTGGACCTGCAGAACAGTCTTCAACCATCACTCCCGAATGTTGAATGCACTGGTTTTTAAGTTCAATCACACATGCAAGTCTTGCACCCAGAAACAAAACAAATCTATCGGTGGCATTTCGGAACTTAATGAAGCCCGGTGGGACAATGAACATCCTTACAACCGTAAGCCCAAAGCCGCAGATCCCCACAAAGTTATTCGGCAAGGGCATCTCGGCAACGAGTTTGCCCACATCACTTTGGACGTTCAGGTGTTCTGTCCTGGCACAAGCAGCCACGAAGAGCTTGTGTGTTGAGAAAAGGTGGTCTCTGGAGAAGGAGATTCATACTTGCGCAAGCGACATTGGTACATGTTGAACCGGCAATACGATCAGGTTTGCAGCTTATGTTCGCTGGAATCATGTGTGTTGTCCAAGATGCGCTGTAGCCTTCACACCTCAAGAAAAAACATGCCGCCACCAACGCATGCGCAGAGAGATGTACGACGCCGTGTCGGTCTGCCTACCTGTCTGCGGATGTGTTTTTCGTTGTTTCTGTTTCGTCACGCTCACCGTCGAAACGTCACTCCACAAAAGCGGTCTCTGGCCATGTCCGTGAAAACACAACGAGACCCTTCCAAAAACAAGGACTTGGTTGGGAGCCTCCTATGGACAGTCGTATAAGTATAGAAGAATGATGTAACACTCTATGGAAGGATGATGAGGTGTAAGACTCCTCGCCTCGCCCCGAAGCGCATAAGGGTGAGGTAAGCTCAATCTTTGGAACCCAGTGCTGCTTTGACAGCCTTTCCGGTTGTGATGAAGCTGTACCATCTACGCGCAAATCGCAACAAGCCAGAAATCACGACCTCCATCATCCTAGCCTTCATGCATTTAAGATCAGAGTAAACCAGAGAGAAGGAGAGAGAGAGAGAGAGGGAGGGAGAGAAAGAGTGAGTGAGAGATAGAGAGGGAGAGGCAGAGGGAGATGGACAGTGACAGAGAAGAATCAAAAATAATCCTTTAAGCGGGCTGTGTTGAGGTATAAGGCATGTCACATCGTGTCGCGAGGTGCTCAGTCTCATCCTGACAATCTCGGCTCAACACAGGGAGTGGCAACATGTACTTCAAAAGAAGGATGCTGAAGTGCTCCATACCCGAAAAGAGGGGGCGGCCTTGGCTCAGATGACGGGACTTCCTTTAGCCAAGGCTGCGGTCGTTCGTTTTGTATAAGGACGTCCAAACAGATAGCGCAGACCAGCAGGACCATGGCATTAACACATGGGCCGTTCTCGAACACAGGATCCCTGTCGGGGGATCTAGAGAATGTAGAGTGCAGGAGTGCAGCACAGTTTTCAAAGTAAATCTACAGGGGACCTTGATTTGACGATGTACCAGCAGGGTCTAGACAATGGCGTCCTGAGCAGTTCCGAGATGCCGTTTCAGCAACATCATCGGCTTTTGGGTCCCCAACATAGTACAACACTCGTATAAACAGGAGCCTGGTAGGTCCCTAACATAGAGAACTACACCATTCTTGAAACCACTCTTGCATGCAGCACTTTCAAGGCGCATCGCTATGACGGTTTAGGGTGATGGGTTTTGGGTGTGAATCACGAGTTGGGCTTGCGAATGGGAGTTGAAGGCGACTGGAACACCTGGGGTAGGAAGATGATGCTACTTCAGTAGTGACTTGCAGATCCTCCGCTTTGATAAAGGATACCAAGATGCGCGAAGCATGTTCCATAAGTCCAGAGGTGTTCATACAACCACTAATATAAAGCCTTGGCTGAACCCCAAATTCTGAGACTGGCAGTGCAGAGGCAGACGGACAGGAGCTTGAAAAAACAGCTCCGACATCCCAACACCCCCTGTAGTAGGAAGCCCAGTATTACGTCGGAGGCTAAGAGCTGGCAAAGGGAAGGTAAGACGTGAAATGGGCAGAGGAGCAAGATGTGGTTCATGGTGGTCAAGCTATAGAAGACCCTCAACCCTAAACCCTATGAGTCTATGAGGTTGTTAAGGAGTAGGATTAGGAGATGGCGGGTCGGCGCAATGCTGAATCACAGAGCAATGAACTTAAACTCTACGCACCCCGGGACCCAAATCGAAGACTCCCCGCCGCAACCTGAATCCTGAACAGTGAGGGAGTTTAGGGTTTAGGGTTTAGGGGATTTCAATAATTTTTCCAGGCTTCAGGCTTAGGGTGACTTCGATCCACCTTAACAAGGTTGGTCGTTTCGCTTCATAGGTGTTCGCCTTGCAAGCCATTCAGCCCGCAAGATTGAGCCCGAAGCCAAACCCCAAGTATAATGATAGGATCGGGTATATTATACTGTCTAATCATTTATGCGGACCAGAAGAGGGCCGCAGCAGATACCTGTTCCGATCCTTATGCTAGACTCCTGAACCCCAGAGATTAAAGTTCAGAGCCTGTCTATTTCGATGGCCAAAATCGAGGCGCCTTGCAAAGAGAGGTAAACTCCAAAGGATCCAAGCCGGCTGCCTCTCGGGTTTAGGGTTTTGGCAAAGAGCCCAATCAATCTGTTCATTGTCATTCAGGAAGCGTCCTTACCGTATGTAGAGCTCCTGATAAATTAAACAAACGGCGTAAGGATGCAACATAAGGCTTCTTATGGGGTCCATAGCACCAGGAGCTATTCCCTGAATCTGTACCTATCTGGGTCGTTTTTTCGGCTTCAAGATGGAGGGTGGAGTAGAAGGCTTCTGAGCGAGCTCATGAA